AGTTTTTAATAAAACTTCTAACCCTCTGCCCCTGAGACTCCCTCTCCAGCCTCCCGGTTGCTCTTGTCTTAGGGCGCAATTGAAGGGTGCCGGAACTGGCAGCTCTTGCTTGCCTCACATACCTTCAGCCTGAGAATAACCGAAGCCAAGTATACTTTTATAATGAGAGTAGTTCAAAGAGCCTGCTCTAAAGGTCCCCTCCAGGCAGGGGGCTGTGGGACTTTAATTTCTTTCCCTCGTCCCTCACCCTTCTGGGAAGACGCATCTGGGTTTCCAACCCCTCACTCTCCACCCCGGACCACCCTTTTCAGAGTAGTGTTTGCATAGCCTACTGAGCAACTCACAAGATCTCGAGAAAAGGCCAATAAATTAAAGGAAGTGGAAATCCAACTCTTAACACCTTCAGAAGCTAAGTGGATGACTAGGAAGCAGTTCAGTAGAAATGGGGTTCAGTGTTCACCTTGGCGAGGCAGACATAAATATGAGTGTGTTGTCCTGCTTTCTAAAGGCCCCCCAAAATCATCTCCCTGTTCACCCAGCTTTTGGTTGAATTTTAAAAATTTTATGTATAGATTTATTCTAGTTTTTTTTTTTTTTTCCTCATTTAGTCATTTGAATTTAAGAAATATTTTGGCTGGGCCTCCTGGGTGGTTTAGTCGGTTGGGCATCCAGCTCTTGGTTTCCGTTCAGGTGGTGATCTCACTGTGGTAGGATCGAGCCCTGCCTGCATCAGGCTTCATGCTCAGCAGTCAGCAGAGATTCTCTCCCTCTCCCCAGTCACTTGCACTCTTACGCACACACACTCTCTCTAAAATCCTAAAAAGAAAGAATTCGGCCGGAGGGGAGAAGTGGGCGATGGCATAAATGCATGATGAGTATTAAGGAGGACACTTGTGATGAGCATTGGCTGTGGTATGTATGTGATGAATCATTAAATTCTACACCTGAAACCAATATGACACTATATGTTAACCAGCTAAATTTTAAGACTTTTTAAAAAAGAATTTGCATTGTAATAATTCAAGCAATTCAAGAATAGCCAAAGTAGAATTGTCTCCTGAGTCCCTTCTTGTTTACCTCTGTTTGTTACAGTTTACAAAAAAAAAAATTGGTGCCTGTCCTTCCATACCTGTTCTGGTGCTCTTGCAAATATGTTTTATACACAAAAGTGCACACGCATATACATTATAAATGTGTTATGTGTGTGTGCTGTTGTACACAGAAGGGATCACCACTTTATTCTGTGATTTGCATTCTTCGCTTAAAAATAGATGAATGCATATCATTCCAAATCTGCACTTTAATCTTATTCTTTTCATCGCCCATCGTTTTGTGGTATGACGGTACCATAATTTAATGCAACACTTCTTTCTCCCTATTGGGAAATTTTCAGGCTGTTTCCAGTATTCTGCTAATAAAAAAATACTTTGCTGTGAAGAAGTTTCTTTGATATGAATCTTTATGCATTCCTGTCAGATAAACCCAGGGTATGCACATTTAAAAATGTCTAAACACTGCTATTTTATTTTAGTACCTTAATCTTATCAACAGATCATTATTGCTAAGATATATTTATTCACGTACTGTACTTAACGCCTTTTGTTACATCTGTGCTTTTCTGTTAGACCATCTCAAGTTGATTACATTTATGGTTTTTTATTTGGGAGGAAAAAAATCTTTGAACCTCCGGCTTAGCTTTACTGATTATATTCACTTAATTGGATTTAACCTCCATGCAGTTAGAACCAAAAAGTCATTTTGGGAAATTTGACTCAGATACTCTCCTTACAGTATCAGACCAAACCTTCTCATAAATCATAAATTTATTTCTAGAATGGTCTCTGTCCATTAAAGCTGGCAAATGTGTAAGAAGTTGTTCAGGGGCTACTTGATGGTTATGAACCTGAATTGTGAAGTTCAGTAGCTGAGCTGGGGGAGAGATTGCAAATTCTAAACATTTGGTAAATGCATGAGACCTGAAACAATTAACTGTTGCCAAAACTCAGTGCTAATCCTCTCCTGGTGATTTCTTTTTTTTATTTTTTTTAATTTTTATTTTATTTATGATAGTCACACAGAGAGAGAGAGAGGCAGAGACACAGGCAGAGGGAGAAGCAGGCTCCATGCACCGGGAGCCCGACGTGGGATTCGATCCTGGGTCTCCAGGATCGCGCCCTGGGCCAAAGGCAGGCGCCAAACCGGTGCGCCACCCAGGGATCCCTCCTGGTGATTTCTATGCAGCTTGTTTATTTAGTGAAAAAAGAACTAATAAGAGAAACGCAGACTCCCAGAGGTCAGTTTACAAAACAAGAAATACAATTTGCAAAAACATTGGGGGGAAAATACTCTTCAGCCTTCTTATTCAAATTGTAAACACATTGATGATGTTGGCCACAATTTGATGGACTAATCATTCTCATTCATCCCTGTAGGGCAACTTAGTTATACGTATCAAAGTCCCTAAAAATATGTTTTGAAGTAATTCTCCAGGAAATTTATAAGAATAAGAACATTGAAAACAGCCCAATCAAAAAAGTAGAGTCAAAGTTAAGTTATGAGGGACACCTGGGTGGCTCAGTGGTTGAGTGTCTGCCTTTGGCTCAGTGTGTGATCCCAGTTGGGGGATCGAGTCCCACGTTGTGCTCCCTGCAAGGAGCCTGCTTCTCCCTCTGTCTATGTCTCTGCTTTTCTCTGTGTCTCTCATGAATAAATAAATAAAAATCTTTAAAAAGAAAAAAAAGTTAAATTATGAGAATATAAATCAATACAGGGAAAACATCATTTTATGTAGAGAATATTTAGAAGATTTAATGGCACAGGAAAGTAGACACTGTAATAAGGAGGAAAAAACAGCCTTCAAAATTATGGTGGTATTTCCCAGAATACCTCTTAGGAGATGTGAGTTCCTCCATGGCCTCCAAATTAGCTTGAGAAATGCTCAGGTAATCAGAATTAAGATAAAGTACTTTAGGGCTGGCCTTCTTGGAGAGTCATAGAACCTAAAGGTGGCTTGTATCTCCCAAATTTCTTTGACCTTGAAACTTTCTCTAAAATACTTATTAGCGTCTTTCAAAATGCTCAGGTTCCATGGAACATAGTATAGGAAGTGCTAATATGTAGTTGAATCTCCTTTTTTTATTTTTAAAAATGTAGCATGTCTCTGTCTTACATGTTTACATGTGTACTTATGTTTATTTGTATGCATGTATGCATAGAAAATTAGAGAAAACATATGAAAAGGGGGTTGTGAAATTACTGGTAATTTTTTTTCTTTAAACTTGTCTGAATTTCCCAGATTAGGGGAAATTAGACAAATTAGGGGGTTAGAGAAAACATATGTCTTGGGGGTTGTGAAATTACTGGTAATATTTTTTTCTTTAAACTTGTCTGAATTTCCCAGATTTTCTAGGGGGAAGAAAAGAACACTTCCAATATTGAAAAAAATTGCGTTGTTTTTAAACTTTCATAAAGTTAATTAAAAAAAAAAACACTGGCAAAAAAAAAAAAAACACTGGCAAGGGGCATCTGGTGGCTCAGTTAGTTGAGTGCCCAACTCTTGGCTTCAGCTCAGATCATGATCTCAGGGTCATGAGATCGAGCCCCAGGTGGGGCTACACCCTCAGTGCAGAATCAGCTTGAGATTCTCTCCATCTCTGCCTCTCTTCTCTGTTCACTCAGGCTTTTTCACTCTCTAGTTCAAAGAATGAGAAACAGTTGCATAAAAAAAAAAAAAAACTCTAGGGGCGCCTGGGTGATTCAGTTGGTTAAGCATCTGCCTTCAGCACAGATCGTGATCCCAGGGTCCTGGGATTGAGCCCCACATGGAGCTCTCTGCTCCGTGGGGAGTTTACTTCTCTCTCTGCTCCTCCTCCTCACTCATGCTCTGTCTCAAATAAATAGATAAAAATGTTTTTAAAAAAAGAAAACCCAAGGGCAGGAGGAAACTGGTAAGGAATGGATGTGTCTGTGGCCTTTGTGGCGGTGGTGGTTTCACTGGTATATATTTATCCCCACCCGACTCAGCAAATTGTATACGTGAAGTATGTACTACATCGTACATGACAACCACACCTCCGTAGTCTGGTTTCAAAGAAAAAGAAAACTCAAGCTTTGAGTCAGATCTGAATTCAGCCTGTCATTTGTGATTGTGAGCAAGATATTTGATCTCTGCATCTTGCTTGCAAAGTAAGGGTACCTCCACGAGCTGTTGCCAGAATCATATCAGGTGCCGCACCAGTGTGCCCATAGGTGCTTAGAGATGTGCAAAGGTGGTTTGAATTGCATTTTTTTTTTTGCTAGCTATTACATGCACAGGGAAATGCCTGTTAAAATGTAGTTTACCGTTTTTTGCTGTAGAAACAGACTTCTGAGATGATGAATGAAATGCTCTTGTTCTTTAGTTAAGAAGCTGGTTCCTTCCATTGAACCAGAGGGAAATGTTCCTAGACTAATGCAAATGGTTCCCATGCAACTTTGAGTCAGGATCCTTTCCTTTCTCTACTTGCTCCTAGCATTTGTCAAATAACTGTCATAAAGGCGAGGTTTTACTTACCAACGTTCCATTATCTATGACTCAGACCCCTTCCTATGACTTCCTTTTCCCCAAAGATCCTTAGGTTTAAAAAAAAAAAAAGTGAATCTAGTCTGTTTCTCATGGGAGTGTAAAATTTCTCATTAGGAAGAGTTTTCTTTTAAAATCTAGTACCCACGGGCACCTGGGTAGCTCAGTCGGTTGAGCATCTCACTCTTGATTTGATCTCAGAGTTGTAAGATCGAGCCCCCTGTCAGGCTCTGTGAGATCTTCTGCCTCCCCCATCCCCCACTCTCTCAATTAATTAATTAAAGCATCTAATCGCTTTTAAGTGCTAAGATCTAGTGCCAGGAGTGGTAGACTTTATTGTTAAAGTAGGTTTCCTCACTCCCTCCATAGCTATCTTTTGCAGTGTTGGGTTGTTGGTTTTTTGGTTTTTTTTTTTCTCACTTCTGTATTTGTTATATAGCAACTCTATAGAAAGAAGCCCGGTCTGGCCATCACGTTTGCAAAGCTGCCTCAAAATTTGGACAAAAACCGCTATAAAGATGTGCTGCCTTGTGAGTACCCAGTGTGAATGCCTCCCTCCCCTCCTCCACCGCCACCAGCCCAGGCCTCCCCCCGCCCCCCCAACACGCTGAGATAATGTTTCCCTTTTTAAAACAGATTGTCTGGTATTCTGGAACGATTTTCACTGTGTCTGTAAACACCACCGTCTTTATTGCCGCCATGTCAGACTCGGAACAGTTGGGGACAGTGTTTATGCTAATGAGGCGAGAGCTGCAGATGGGGTTGCGCACTGAACTCTTGTTTACTTGGCATGATAAAAATAACGCTCGGGATAATCGGCAAATTTTTTTGTTGTTGTTTTTCTCCCCCGCAGATGACACCACCCGGGTCTTGTTGCAGGGAAATGAGGATTATATTAATGCGAGTTCTGTGAACGTAAGTCAAGAACCTGAACCCCGGAGTACATTGATCACTGTCATGAGCGCGATCGTGGCTCGGGTGGGGCTTGCCGTGGACCCCCTCGTTTCAGCCCCTCAGCAGCCACTGAGGGAAGGCAGCGTAGTCCCATTTTACGGAGGGCAAGACTAAGGTTCAGAGATTAAATAATTTGAAAAGTCCCAAAGCTCACGGAAGGTGAGACCAGAACCCAGATCCCCAAAGTTCACATGCCTTCTGGCCTCAGCTGTGGACATTTTGTGGGCTTTTTTATTTTTTCTGTTGTTCTGGGGTTTTGGTTTGTTTTTTTTTTTTCCCCTTGCCAGTGGTATGCTTGTAATTTTCTGTGTTTCCACCCCCCTCCCACATTATTACCATACATCCCACCTAAAAATAAGGGGGAAAAAATCTGCTTGTGCATATAATCTCAACAGAAAAGGTACAGGATATCACATGTTGTAGGAAGGGCATTCATTTCACCCTGAAAATGCATCGTGGGCAGCTTACTTGGGCTCTCTGAATCTCAGTTTCTTCATTTAAACCAGGATCAGTACACTTTTTCTGTAGAGGGCCAAGTCATAAATATTTTGGTTTTTGCAAGCCGTGGCAAAATGGAGGATATTACTTAGGTACTAACATGACCATTTAAAACACCACCATGTAAAAATACGTTTTACACACTCTGAGCTTGCAGGGCACCTGGGGGGATCAAATAGGTGTATGACTCTTGATTTCATCTCAGGTTGTGATCCTCAAGGTCATGAGATTGAGCCCTGCATCAGGCTCCACATCTCACACGGGGTCTGCTTGAGCTTCTCTCTCTCTCCTTCTGCCTCTGTTCCCTCCCCTGCTCACACTCTCTGAGTAAACAAGTTAAATCTTTGAAAAAAGAAAGACAGACTCTGAGCTTGCAAAGTGGCAGTTACATTTGGCCCTCAGGCCAAGTTTGCCAACCCCTGCTCTAAATGAACAGAGGATTTCTCAAGTTCTCAAGTTACAGCAAAGTATCAAGAACTACCCTAAAAAAAAAAAAATGGGTCTTATCAGTGATTCCATTTATTCCAAAACATCTATGGAATTCGTTGATCCTCACTTCACCATTCCTGGTGTCTTGACAGCAGAGCATCAGAATTGGTGAGGTCAGCAAGGTCAGGCGATCCAATCTCTCTGATCATGGGGATGTAGGGACACTAAGGGTTGATGAAGCCATTTACCCAAGCATCAACCAAACCATGAATTAGGCGCCTCTGTTTGCCTTCCCCACCTAAGAATGAGTGAATCACGGTGTCACTTCAAAGCTCAGCAGGTTCTGCGTCGTTTTTCATAGAAATGACTCAGTTCAGAGGGAAGAAGTCCAAGCAGACCAACCAGGATGGGGGAGAGACACTGAGGACAGTTGAAAACATTTTGACGTTTAACGTTAATCAACTCAAGTGGTAACTGAGGTGGCAGATGTGTTCATTAGCTTGATTGTGGTGATCATTTCACAACGTATGCGTCTATCAGAGCATCGTGTTGTAGACCTTAAACACATGCAGTTTTGTGTCGATCCTACATCAGGAAGGCTGGGTGGAGGAGAGGACTGGTCAACTCAGTGACACAAGCGTTGGCGGCCCCGCAGAGAGCTAAGTGCAGCATTTGCGGTGGCATAAACCTGTATGGGCTGTGCTTCAAAGAAAAGTAAATGGATTTTGATAGAAAGCCCTGTCTGGGGAAAGATTTGGAGCATGAGGACTGGTATGTATTGCTGAAAATACAGATGGCCACTATGGATTATATTTAGGATACAGCAGTAAAGGTCATTAAAACTCTTTTGCCCTCTTGTAGGCACATTTCTTGATTATTGCCTCCTGAGTGTCAAACAGCTTTAAGTGGTTAATGCTAGTGTTACGCCAAGGGTCTTTCAAGGATTTTTAGAAACAGCTTTTTCTTTGATTTTCCTTATTGGCTGTAAATTGATAGGATATTCTGATGTGACTGACATCAATTATCAATTTGAAGAGTCTTTAAGATCCAGTTCCATGTCCACCTTGTCGCAGTGACAGGTACTAATGCCTTAACAATCTCTTGCCAGATGGAAATTCCTGCTGCTAACCTTGTGAACAAGTACATTGCTGCTCAGGGTCCCCTGCCACACACCTGTGCACAATTTTGGCAAGTCGTCTGGGATCAGAAGTTGTCACTCATTGTCATGTTGACGACTCTCACAGAGCGAGGACGGGTAAGTGGCTTGATTTCCAGTTCCAGTGTGGCCATGTCACACTGTGCTCTGTGGAACTTGAATCTCAGACCTGGAAACGGTCTTAAATGTCCTCTGGTCCAGCCTGTAAATGACCCATAAGACTCCTTTACAGAGCTACTGATAGGCACCTCCAGTGATGGGCACCTCAGCACTCCTGCTCCCTCCCTGGCCTTCCCTGAGCTCACGAGTGATCCAACAGCCCCTCACTCCTAGCTTAGATCCATCATAACAAGCCAGAAGGCAATTCCCCTTGCCTCCTCTCCCCTCACCTGCCCCAGAACCCCTGTGTTGACTATTCTTAGCCACCTAGGACAAGCGCTGGTCCTGAAAAGAACAGTGTGGGGTGCCACAGTGGCCATAAAAAAGTAGGAGAAGTTGTAACCTCTGTCAGCCTTCACTTGGGTTGCCTCAAAACCCAATGCACAAAGAGGAATAAGGGCTTGATTAGGAGAGTGATGGGCGCCACACTGTGCTTAGCGGGCAGGCATTTCCCGAGGAGCAGATCGCTGGTTGTATAACAGAAGTCACTGTGCAAGGGATACCTGTGTTGTGCATCCTCTAACTTGTGCATGCATCAACGTAACTTCATTATGAAACATTTATTCAGAAACCCATTCCAAAATCAGATATAAATTAACTTTGAGCCACCTGCTTTGAATGATTTGTGTATTTGTGTGCAGCTTCCTCCAAGGCCTTTCTCCTTGGTACCTAGTTCGGAATACCAAATTGATCCAGGCTGAAAATCAGATTATGCAGGATAGAATGACTAGTATGTTTGAGAACAGTCTACACTCTCATCTGAAACAGCAAAATAAGGATTCCTCTATTTATTCTGCAGAGCCCTGTGGATTGCAAAGGACTTCAGTGCGTTGTCCCAGGCAGAGGGCTCCCGACTCTTGCAAAAACACCTCCAGGGTCCATCCTGTGGGTATTCAGCTCTAATTTAAAAAAAAAAAAAAAAATTCTTCCTTACAACTAGCTGAAATCCACATGACTTTGGACCTTCACCCCATGTGCTTCTCCCACTTGGAAGATGCAGAATAAGTTACCCCTGTCTTCTCGTAACTGGCCTTTTAGGTATCTGAAAATAATCTCAGAGTTTGTGAAAGCTTATAACCTCAGCTCTTTTAATCCTGTGACCAGCAGAAAGTGTCTGGTCTCTGTCTCGGTGCTGCTCTCGGGCCAGTTGCCCCCATTTTGTACTCTGTCTTCGACTCTTAAAACCTACATACAGAATGCTGGCAGGGCTCTGGAGCCAGACTGGGTTCACAACATGATTCGCCCTGAACACGTTACTTAACCTCTCTGACCCTCGGCTTCCCCGTATGTGAAGTGGAGGTGATCCTAGGGCCCATCTTGGACAGTTTGTGAAGATGGAGACCGTACATGTAAAAAGCTTAGAGAACCGCATGTTGCAAGTGTCCAGCAAACGGTCAACGTTGTTTTGTGTGTCATCACCACTGGTTGCATTCAGCCGTTGGATCCAGCCTTTCAGGCGCTCTCTGGGGCTCTTTGGGCTTGCCTTCTATTGTTGTCTGCGTTGGCTACCACTCTTAGCTTCTTGTCACTCACAGTTTTGATCAGAATCTCTTCACGTAAGTCCCTGTTTAAAAAACATGAAGGTCCTCAAGAGGCAATAGAAACCTTCGAATGCTGTGAGTCGGAGGCATCAAGGGTACCCTTTGGGGAGCAGCTATAACTCTCCAGTTCTGCTCCCAGCTCCCACATTTCCCCACCTTGTCCATGCACTTACCCTGACAGACTGTCTGAGGCTTCGGTAAAATCACCAGGCACCCCCTGATCTTGTCCTGAAGTCTCAGTTTCATCTTTTTTTTTTTTTAATTTCTGTTTATATTTTGGTGTTTTTTTTGGGGGGGGGAGTTGGTAATTTTTGTTTTGAATAGGAAATGAAGTGAGTTGGACCTTTTTTTGAACTTAGGGAACCCTGGCTGACTCCCAGTCCTGCCCTCTCTCTCTCTCTGGAGCACTCACAGCCATCTTGGTCTACACTGTGGTGGGTAAGAGGGCAGACTCAGATTCAGAGCCCAGCTCTATCGTTTCCTCCCTGTGTGACTTAGGAAAACTACAAATCCTCTGGGTAAAACAGAATAATAATAGCGCCTATCTTGTGGGATTGTCAGGAGTTAATGCAGGTAGGTTTCTTGGAAGTGCTTGGCACACAATAAATACTGCAAGCGCTCTCACACTGTCTCTAAAAACAAATCTCTAAAAAAGGGGAAAAAAAAGAAAAAGTTTGTTTTACAACCATGCACGTTGTTCCATGTTATTTGATCCCCCGACTGAACCAGCACGTCCTACACTTTGCAGACCCTGCTCTGGGCCACTTCTGCTATTTTGTAGGCGACTAACATCACCTTTGTCACCTTCTCGTTTCCACAGCCTGCCAGTCTCCCCATTTGAACCCCGTGCTATCTTTGCCTGTATTGTTCTGTGACCTCTGGGTGCCCAGATGCTCCAGGTTCCCTCACAGTATTCGTGGCGGTGCCGCTCTCCTGGGTCATCAGGCCTCCTCACCTGGTTGGGCTTCTCTTTCCCCTGTAAAGTGGGCTCAGCCCTTCCCGGCTGTGACGTCATTAGCGAGCTGCAGCAGGCGTGGTTAGTGACAGACGATCTGGCCTGGACAGCAGCCCCTTCTTCCCTCGTCCTGCTTGTTCCGACTCAGAAAGGCCCTTTCTTCCGGCCCACAGGCCCTGCTTCCTCCACCTGCCCTTGCGGGTCCTGCCCCACCTGCTGCCTGCTGACGTCCCACCTCCCCCCCTTTTTGTTGGCATCTACCCTGAGCCCCTCTGAGGTCTCCCTGTGACCGTGGGCTTTGTCTCCCAGCCATCTTCCTGACCGAGCGCATCCCAGCCGACCCCCGGTCCTGAGTCAGCATTCCCTTCACCATCCGGGGCCCTGGGGACTTAGCCCTCCTGTTTATCGATCGTTAGAAACCTGTTCTTCTAAAATCCAGGCTGCATGTTTCCTCCTCCTGCTGTTACACACCCTCGGCTGACCTGAGCCCTTTATCCTGAGGTCCCTTATCTGGTCCTCACCACCACCCACGGGTTCTCTCCAGGCCAGCAGCTTCATCCCGTCCTTGTTCTGAGAGATGAGGCTTTCAGCATGCCCCATGTGCTTTCACCCCCCCACCACCCGTGCATTTAGCAGAGCGGGCCCCCCGACAGGCATGGGGCTGGCCGGAGTCCCCTCTCACGGCTGTGCCCAGCAGGCACGTCTGCTGGTGCAGGGTCTTCTCTAGCGCCTGTGTCGCCCTGTAGCCTGTGAGGGGCTCCCACTGCAGCATCACTTTGAGTTCTGCCTTTTCTCATGCCCACCCAAAATGTTTTTCATTATAGTCTCTCTTCAGGTTCACAGGTTTCCTCATAGAGAAAAAAAGACCTATGGAGATACAGCTTTTCTACTGAAAAAGCATTCTCCCGAACCTTCCATCAGGGATGCTTCCTTTGAGTGAAAATTATTTCTTAGATCTATGTGTGCACCACTTCTGATATGTATGATCGGTGGCAGATTCACACTCAGAGCCTCCATTTACTCATATGCAAAGTAGAGACACCCATGCTGCCTACCTCGTAGGGTTTTTTGAGGCCCAGCTAATGTCCTTAAAAAGTACCATTTAGCGCTGGGCATGCCCTGTTCAATAGCTGGTAGGCTCTAGCATCCTCACCCCCCACAGCCAGCATTAACATGGAGATGGAGACTCAAAAGTAAGTCTGGTGACTTGCCCAGGATCACACAGTTGGTTAGTGGAGCTTATTATTAGAAACTCCGGGATTCCACAGACGCCTTGCTCTTTCTACTACACCCTTAGTGCTTTGAGATGCAAACAGACCTAAAATCTAAATTGGACCAAAGGGTAGAGTCTAGTTCTGGTCACATTCACTGGGAGTCTCTGGAAGTAGGTATTTGCATCTCTGCCTTGTATGGGCTGATCACTTCAGAGACCCTTCCCATCAGCTGTCCTGTGGGTGGGACACTCGGGAGTCTGTAGCAGAGAGCTATGCCACCTCATATTGATCCTACCCTCCCCGGGGCTGCCCAGGTGTGCTCTGCACCCCCACCCCCACCCCTCTATGCAGGGGGTGGGGAGAAACTGAAGGCAGGCCACCCCAGGTTGACAGGTGGCAGTTGTAATAAGCAAAGGGAACTTCCAAGTCTAGTCTTGGGCAGCAGCAAGACACATGGATCCCTGCAATTCCCGATAAATCTTAAAAGTTTATAAAGAGAGAGACCCTAACTGGGCTCAGTTATGTATGTGGTTATGGGTGTCTTCAGCACCACATTACTTACTGTCTTAAGGCTGTGCCCTTGGAGCAGCCTCTGGCAAGCAGAACCCACATTCTCAGGTCGGGGGATGGCGGAGGGTTGAGAGGGTGAGATGCCTCTGAGTGCTCAGGGCCAGTTCACAGGCCACAGTGCGGTCACATCCTTTTGATGATGTTTTCGAACACCCTGTGAGGATGAGGCAGGTGTAGACCAGTGGGTGTCGACCCTGCCTTGGGTTGGGGGCGCAGCTGCCCCTTCATGTCTAAGGGAAGTTGGGAAATGGCCACTAACCAAAACACACCCATATTTAAGGTTTACAAGTTAATTCTTAACTCCAGCTCTCCAGCCGCATATTTTAATTTCAGATATTCACTGTGACGTTCAGAAATAAGAATAGAAAAGCTGTTCTAGACAAATTACGTGCATCTGTTGGTTTATAGCCCCTTTTAGCTGTACACAAATATAATTTTTATGTAAGATGTTGCAACTATAGGCTTGGAGGAAAAAAAAATTTGAATGAGTCAGAATTTGATGGAACTGTGATGGGATGGACAGCTTGGTCCTGAGTTTTGCTTTGAAGCCGGAGGCAAGAGCGGAGACAGCTGTGGCCCAAGCGTCAGGATTTTGGAAGGGAGGATCAAACACAGGGAGAGGCTGTGGGCTCAGGGAGCCAGTGGGGAAGCCACAGCGGCCCTACGACCCTGGGCAAGTCGCTTACCCCCTGTGAGGCCGAGGTTCCCCGTCTGCCATCTGGGAGATGCGTCAGCTCCGTGAGTCACGGACAATGGCTTCGGAGGGTCTAGGGGATACGGCTTGAATGTAACGGGATGTTCATCTCAGTTTGGAGACTTCTTTCACTGAGATTTCTGAGGAATTTCTGATCACCCTTAGTGAAGTTGATGGGGGGCCCGTAGCAACAATGATAACCTGCCCCCCCAACCCACCCCCGGGTAAGCCTAGTACTACACACTGTTAACCTCCCGCCTCTGTCACCACCTGCGAAGCAGGTGCAGTCCCCATCTATCAGGCAAAGACGGTGAAAATCTGAGAGGTCGAGTAGCAGGTTCAAAGTCACAAGGCTAACCAGTAGAGGAGATGAGTCCAGGGGCCTCTGACTTCCCCCTGTGTGCTCTTAACGGCTATGCCTTGAGGCCTCCTACTAGAAGAGGCAGGGGATGGATGGTGAAAGAGGGTGAGGTGAAAGGGGCATGGAGAGCAGAGAAGGTGGGGCCTGCGGCTTGGAGTGGGCTTGATGGAGGATGGGGATGGATGAGGAGGAGAGGTCGCTCCTGTATCAAGACACTGTCTGAGGCCTCTCCAGTTCTTCCAGCAACGGGACCCCCGTAATGAAGAGGATGAGCTCTGGACTCCTCCTCCAGGCTCCAGCCCCAGCCCCTGGCAGGCCCACCCCCACCCTGCTCTCTAGGGGAGGAGGGGAGGCTCCTCTGCGGCCCTCAGGGGACAGACACAGAGCAGATTGGCTTTGCCTGAGTCTCTCTCCACCTGCAGCTCTCACGGTCCCTGGTGTGAGTGTGAGGGCTCTGGCCAAACACCGCACCTGGCCATCCAGGTGACTGCTCATGTGCACCCCCCACAGTGGAGGTCAGCTCACCCCCAGTGGTTCCCTTGCAGACCAAATGTCACCAGTACTGGCCCGATCCTCCTGATGTCATGGAACATGGCAACTTTCACATCCGATGTCAGTCAGAGGACTGCACCCTCGCTTACGTGTTCCGAGAAATGCTGGTCACCAACACTGAGGTAAGCAACGCCCCTGCAGGGACTGGTCGGGGACAGCCCAGCTTAGAGGCAGGTGCCACATCAGCATCCACCATGGTCCCGGATGATAGGGCAGTGCTTCCAGGTCTGTTCCCCATTTTTACCTGGTGCACATTTCGGTAAATGTACAAGCCGACTTGTGAAAGAACCAGCATCCTTGTTCACAGCACCACTGTTCACACTAGCCCGCAGGTGGGAACATGCGATGGACATTGACGGGTGAACCGGTGAACAAGATGCGGTATATTTATACAGTGGGAGCAATTCAGCCTTTCGAAGGAAGGCCCTTCTGATGCATTTGTAGCAGGGGTAGACCTTGAAGGCATCGTACGAGGTCAAGTTAGCCCGTCGTGAGAGGAAAGTACTGTGTGACTGTGGAGTACTTGAAGTAGTCAAAATCAGAGACAGGAACTGGAAGGGTGGTTGGCTGCGGGGAGCGACGCATGAAGAGTTAGTGCTTCGTGAGTACAGAGTTTCGGCTTGAGAAGATGAAAAAGTTCTGGAAATAGTGGTGATGGTTGCACAACACTGGGAACGTTTGTAATGCCACTGAGCTGTACTCTTAATAGTTAATGGCAGACTTCACGTTATGTATATTTTGCCCCACTGATGGCAAGTTCTGTAGGAGTGGAAGGGAAGAAATCATAGTGGGCGCAAGAGGAGAAGGAAGAGGTCCTGAGGGGGGCAGGCCCGAGCCGAGTCCTAGAGGATGGGCGCGTGGGAGAGTAGCCGTGGAGGGTGAGTGGGAGCGTCCAGGGGCCTCGGCAGGGTTGTGCACAGTGGGCGAAAGGGCAGCAGGAGACTGCACCACTGGATCTGGGGCCAGGCCCGGAGCCTGCCGCCCGCCTTCCAGATTGACTCACCAAGGCCGCCCTGCATCTTCCGCAGACCGGGGAGGAGCACACGGTCACGCATCTCCAGTACGTCGCGTGGCCCGACCACGGCGTTCCTGATGACTCCTCGGACTTTCTGGAGTTCGTAAACTATGTGAGGTCCCTGAGAGCGGATGGCAAACCCATGTTAGTTCACTGCAGGTACCGTGGCTGGTCTTGTTTGTTTGAATCCACAGACTCCGTAGGGAAAGACCTGGAGAGAGTTGGCAAGGATCACCCTCAATCCCCCGAGACCATATGCTTTTACCAGAAGGCTCTGTTTACTTTATTTCTTCACTATTTCAAAAGATTCGGGATTTTACGAAAGCGTAAGTCTCTGGATGTAGACCAGAGGAGGAAAGCCCCACCCTCCGCTTTCCCTCTCTCCTTGGGTCGCTTCACATGAGATGTGAGAGTGGGGTGCAGCCTGCACTGAAAGGTGGGTTTCTTTTCATTGGTGTTTAAGCCCCTGGCCTCAGAATATATGAGGAGAGGCCTTTTCAGCCTGTTGGAGAGCACGCCCTGAATGTGTGTTTTGTATTCTTGAAGGTCAGGGGAGGAAAGCTCTGTTTGAGTAAACGTGGGAACTGGCTAGGAGTTAAGCTGGGCCGTGCAGAAATACGGCCTGAGCAAATCCCAAGTCTCCACTTCTGTCCCCCCAGTGCTGGAATAGGTCGGACCGGTGTGCTGGTCACCATGGAAACAGCCATGTGCCTAATTGAGAGAAACCTGCCTGTTTACCCACTGGATATTGTCCGGAAGATGCGAGACCAGCGCGCCATGATGGTGCAGACATCAGTGAGTAGAAAGCCATTTGATAAAAGTAGTAACGATGGGCGACACTTTCTGAGCCCTTGCCCTGGGCTGGACCTACCGAAGGGTTTTGCAGTTCAAGAGACCAAGGCCACAGAGCTTGTCAGTGGCTGAGCGACCCCAAAGTCCACCCCTTCACTGTCCTTCCCTTTTACCTCCCTCCATGACGTATTTCCTGCCAACCCCACAGCCAGGCAGCAGCCCTGGTTGCATTTTTTTTTAAGATTTTTATTTATTCATGAAAGACATGCACACAGAGAGAGAGAGAGAGAGAGAGAGAGAGAGAGAGGCAGAGACACAGGCAGAGAGAGAAGGAGGCTCCATGCAGGGAGCCCGACATGGGTCTCGATCCCGGGACTCCAGGATCATGCCCTAGGCCAAAGGCAGGCACCAAACCACTGAGCCACCCCGGGATATCCCCTGGTTGCATTCTACATCGTCAAGCCCCTGGCCCATCATTTATCCATCAGAAGTAAGTAGAATCACCCAAAGATTTTACCCCACCTGCCTGTCTGTGGGTAAGCCTTTTGGCTTAATGGATGTTTCACACGGCCCTACCCTCTCCTCCTTGGGCCGTCTCCTGGGTGTGTCACACCTGGGTAATGGACACTGCAAGTGTCCTCAAGAGGAAATCTTGTGGTTTTCCCCCTGGAACTTCAAGAGACGCAGGGGAAGGGGGGGTGATGTAGAAAAAAAAAAGCATGATTCCGGCTACCCCACATATTGGGTCACCTTTGGATGGTCCCTTAACCTCTCTCCAAGCCTCAACTTCCGCATCTGCAAAATGGGGACCAGCCCACATTCGTCTAGAGGATTGCACACGCTGGAAAGACCCGGGCTTGTATGTGGTGGGAAAACTGGATTAGTCAGTTATAAATGTCAACTGTAATGGAGGAAGTCCAGGGGGGGGAGTCTGAGAACTCAATGGAGAGCAGCGAAAGCTGACTTTGGAAAGTCAAGAAAGGCTTTCTGGAGGAGTGACTCCAGATGAAGGAGGTGGAGTCAGCAAAGAAAGGAGCGGAAATTCCACGTTACAGCCAGCTCTGTGTCCTCACAAGCTCGTGGACAGAGCGTATAAGATTTCTCTAATAATTGTGAGCTCTTGTTTTATATTATACTCCGGAAATATGGTTAAGAGGAAAAAATCAGACACTATTGTTCTCTGCCCTGTTTCATGTTATGGGGACGGCTGGTTAAAAATGTTTACAGTGCGTCCTGGTAGATCTTCCTAGCTGCTGAAGCACGGTCTAAATGCTTTCTTTCAGCCTGTACACGTCACTAAGTAAGTTCCTTAGGTGTTGGTGAATAGAAAGAATCATATCCTGCAGAGCAACTCTCAGTGGCCCTCCTTAAGACAAAGTCCAGACCCCTTACCCCGGCACAAGGCCCTGCACAACCACGTCCCAGCCACCTATGCAAGCCTCGCCTCCCAGGCCCAGGGGTTCCAGGCAGGGGCTCTGAGCCCTGACTGTGCCACGCGGAACGGGCTGTCGGAGTCTCCACACTTGAGCATACACTAGAGTGGTCACCCTGCAGGGTCCTGTCCCTGACCCCCCCCCCCCCACGACTCCTCCAGACCCCTGGTCCCTCCCTCCACTGTGGTTTCCGCCATCCGTTGCCCAGCCCTCACATGTATGCCTGACGGCTTCACGGGTGTATCTGCTCCACGGGTGCTTCCCTGGCCTGTATCACAGGGTGTGGCCTGGCCCAGAGCTGGACCTCAGGGCGTATTTATGAGCGATGTGAAAGAGTGGGCATAGATGTGAAACGGTGCAGTGTTCATGGAGCTGTGGGTGGACCGACAGCTTGCTTTTCTCTTCTTTTCCAGAGCCAGTACAAGTTTGTATGTGAAGCGATTCTTCGTGTTTATGAAGAGGGCTTAGTCCAAATGCTGGATCCCAGTTAAGACAACTGTGAAAAACGTTCATTCCTCTTTCCCAAGGGCATCCTCCTTAAGGACAGACCTTCTCTCTGGAAGCAGCAAGAGGGATTTGTAGGCTGTGGGGGAGGAATGAGCACATTTGAAGCCGGGCACTTTAAAGTTCTATAGAAGAAGAGGTATCGTGTACATAGGAACTGTGTAGATACGCATGCAGTTACAGCAACATTTAGGCCTGTTATTCCTCAGAAATAAGCAAGAGGGGATCTCAGTTTGGGGCCTGTCCTATTTGCCTTCCTCCCTAGACATTACTATGTTCCTGTAAACCATCCTTGGGCAGTTGAGAGGGGATGCCAGCGATGCTGCTGACCTCACAGAAACAAGAGGGTGCGGCGCTTCGGAGTTGCTTGGATGTTTTGTGTGTATATGTGTATAGGACTCTAAGGGCTGAGCTTTCTGGGCTTCAGGGCGGAGCTGGAGCATTGGCGTTCACCTGCCGATGCTAAGGGCACCCTGCTGGATGTACTAAGTGGCAGGGTGGAGGGAATTCAGGCTGCAGGGCGGGCAGTACCCCTTCTGCCCGACCTTCCTCTGTCCCCACTCCCTCCCACTTCCTATACTCGTGTTTCTGAGAATCCTGTCTGAAATGCCCCATTTGCTCCCTGAATCACCGACCCTCTTCGGGGGCTCACACAGGGCCTGGACCAGATTAGTAACATAGGTTCGGGCGAGTTTTCAGTTGAGACTCAGAACGAAGACTCCTGGTGTGTCTTGTCATCCGCCGCTAGTCTTAGGAGTGGGAGCTTCTCGCCTCCGCCTGCCTCTTGCTGCACCTGCAGAACCCAAGACTGGAATTATCGACTACTGAATCTACTACATGGATTGCTGCTACTTCAAGCTATTAAACTTGAAACATTACGATTTTCCTGAGGGGAGATGGGATATCATCTAACTATTCAGAATCTTTGGCCCTTCTGAGGAAAGATCTAGTCATGGAACCATGGGAACCCCAGCTTCTAGAGGGTTGCCCGTGGATGTGTGTGGATGTGTGTGTGTGCGCCCATGGTAAGTGTTTCTCAGGATTCCTAACTTGATTCAAATTACAGTTGAGTTTCTATAAAGAATGAGTCTCTGTATAGAAGAACAAATGTGTGCATTCACCCTCGGTTAGAATGGTCTCCATTTCATTTCAAAGGAGAGGATCAGGCTATCTGAATATAAACACAATTTGATGTTAATTTATTCTAAGTGCACCCTAATTTTGATTTTCCTAAAGAATTCTGCCTTTGTTCATACTGTGTTAAATTTTTAAAAAATTTGTGACAGGATTGTAGCAAAATATTATTTAAGGAAAATAAATTACATAAAAATTTTAACGTGGCATTTTTAAATAGCGGCTTTTATGTGTCCCGAAGGAAGAGGAAGCTAAGCCAGTTTCTCAATGGGACTTATAGAAAAAGGATGCTTTTATATCATAGTGCACAGAAGTGAAGCCATTTTGATGCCTTGCAAACTCTGGACCAATCGAGTAGTTTCCTGGTTGCAGGCTGGATAAAGACCTAGATGCTGGGAGCCGGGTTTCTAAAGGTTCTTTATCTCCAGACTTAGCACATTTAGTTGCACACTTCCCATCTTTTGCCCACTAATATTTTACTGCTCACCGGCAGCGGTGGGAGGGAAGTGTTACGCAGTGCCATAGCGCTGCCGTGACCCCGGAGACCACTGAAGCCCCATCGTTGTCCAATTTGTGCTAAGGTAGCAGAATGAGCCGGGAAAGCTTGGAATTAACGCAGTTGGAGATCTGGTTCCTGGTCCCACTCATCGATTAACTGTCTCCTGGCCTGGTCACTTGAGAGCATGACCTCCCTTTCATCTATTTCCTGTAAAACAGGAGAAATAATACTGAGGCTGTGGGTTGAATATGAGGACTGAATAAAATGCTCTCAGCGGGAGTTGTCATCAGCGGGTAGCGATCTGACACTGCCACAGGTGCGTTACTTGGAAAAGTTAATTTACCAGCCATTAGCCCAAAAACCCATGAAATAGAAGTAGGATCATATGGCTCTTTCCACAAAAGAAAATTTCTTTTGCCGAGAACAGAAACACAAAGGAATATCCTCGTACCAGTGCCTTTCTTCAATCTGGACTCAAAACATTCTATCAGTTATGTCCCAAAAAAAGAGGGGAAGGTGGAAAGCTGACCTAAATTTAAATGCCATCAGGATGCCTAGCAAATCACTGCTATTTCATAAAAATGCATCGTTACCCTGTGTACAAGATGCTTAAGAAGTCTAAATGCGTTTGGAGTGTTGGTTTTTTTTTTTCCTTAAAAAAGCAAATTATTGGGATCCCTGGGTGGCGCAGCGGTTTGGCGCCTGCCTTTGGCCCAGGGTGCGATCCTGGAGACCCCGGATCGAATCCCACGTCGGGCTCCCGGTGCATGGGGCCTGCTTCTCCCTCTGCCTGTGTCTCTGCCTCTCTCTCTCTCTCTCTCTGTGACTATCGTAAATAAATAAAAAACCTTAAAAAAAAAAAAAGCAAATTATTCAATATAGTTGCGGAAATGCTGTCATTATTGTACATAAATTTCTAAAAAGCTGGCCACGAGCCTTTTTCTGCCATCATGCAGGCCAGTAGTTCAGACCCAGCAGGGAACACAATTCATGAAATGCAGAGGAAGAACAGGACAAGAGAATTATCTAAAGGGGCGAAATACACAAATGAGTTATTACTACAGATACAACCGATTAAATTCTGCGCCTCAACATTCATGCTTCAATACCTTGTACATGGAGGCAATTACACTTAAGCCTTTTTTAGTCGTAAGTGAAAAGCATCAAAACCACAGGGAATACTTTGGGAAATTTGGCGGGGAGTGAATAGAGAGGACATTTTACATCTGTGTTTTGTTCTCTGGAAAATCTGCTGGGACCCATTGATGTGCTGACTTAAGATGGGACACCCCTCCCTGTGTCACTGTAGTACCTGCACTTGGTGTTTTGACTTTATAAGAAAGAAAGCTTGAACACAATTTGGGTGGGGCAGGATGGGGAGGGTTCTATCACGGACATGCTGGTCTGTAATTCCTACCATCGTAATTTATACTTCAAAATGTGTTTTAATTACGTTTTTTTTTTTGTTTTAATTCCAGATAGTTAACATTAAAAATGCTTTTAGGTTAGTTGCTATTGCTCCTGTGTTGCTACCTGATATTTTGTTGTTGTTCCTCAGAAATGATCATTTGAGTGGGAAACAACAGGCTGCTTCATCCTTCAACAGCAAACAGAGAGGCAGGATCAATAGGAAAGGCTCAGAGGAGCTCAGATGAGGGAAAGCTCACTGGGGTCTAGACCTAGATTTGGTGAGATGTGTCGCCCTCAGGCCTCCATTTCCTTATGTGTAAAAAAGGAAGAGGTTGGGCTGGACTAAATGAGTTCTTTGAATGTTTATCATTCTGGGAGTCATTGTTCCAGAGAATTGAAATTAGCCCCCAAATCAAAGCCATATAGCTATTAGAGAGGTATCCCACTTCCATGACCTGTCTCCAAGAGATTGTCCCTCCAACCTTAGCAGGGTTGAATGCCAAGAATGACCAGGATTGCCACCATCTGGTTCTCGCCATTCTACACTGAGATTGGAATCCGTAAAGACCGCAAAGACCCTGACCTCAGCCTAACTCTGAGGAGCCAAACACGTGAGAGTCCAATGGCTGACTGTCCACCATCTTTATAACCCATTCTGTTTGGAGCAACGGAAAGATTGGTATTATGTGGTTTTGAAAAGTATCTTAACGAGCAATATTTTTTTTTCTGTAAATCGAGGATGTTTTGCACTCTGTCAGTGACTACTGGAAAAGTTTAATCAATATAAAGACATTCAAGCTATGCAACACTTACGGTGTGTTGACATTTTTATTCTAGTAATTGTCTTGATTTCTGAAAGGGTTTTCTCACTCTGTTTTTTTGTTTTGTTTTGTTTTAAGTAAATATTACCTCAGACGAGAGTGCTCTTCTGCCCATCCCTCCCTTCCCTCTGGTCAGGAGCACAAATGACCACGCACAGTCCCTGTTTCTGTCTTGACTTTGTGGGGCAAATCCTAGATCTGAATTAGGTTCAATTGTCATTGACAACAGTAGCTTTTACAGAAAGAAGTTTCTGTATTTTCTATCGCACAGGGCTGTCAGGGGGGCTCCGTGATCCCTGGGGCCCCAGGTTCCTTTTCACTTGGTGCCCTGCCAACCCCAGTATGCGGCTCTGATGCTGAGGTCCACGATGATGGCTCCAGCCAGCAGGATGGTGGAAAGAGGAAGGAGAAAACAAAACCGCTTCCCTGGGGTTTTCGTCTGGATGTTGTACATCACATCGATCAGAACTTAGTGGCAGGGCTATACCTACTGCAAGAGAGCCTAGGGAAGGTTTTTATTCCACGAAACATGTATCTAACAAATTCAGGAGTTCTTTTCTGAGAAGAAAAGAATGAGTTTGAGGGGCAATTAATTATCTCTGCCATAGTTCAACCCTTTGGTTCTGCCATTCCTCTTCTCCCCGAGGTAGACAACCCAAGCCCCAGCCACCTGTGGTGTGAAGCTAAAGCTAAGATCACCTTCGGGTGTTCTGCGGACTTCTCCATCTCCAACTCTGGGTGGCTTCTTGTCTAATAACCTATAAATTTGAGACAAGTGATCGCTCAGCACAGCCCATAACAGCAGTGAAGTAGAAAGAGGAAAACCATTCCCTCGTAAGAGGGAAGAACAGCAAACGCTACCCCCAGCGGTTATCCAAGCCCACTGCACAGGAAGAATGAAGACGCTTCTGGCACGCCAGTGAGTCCCTTCGATAGCTGCCTCACAACCAGGTCCTGCTCCCTGAGAGGACCTCCTCATCCATGGGCCTCCATGGCCACATCCAAGGTGGGACCACGGTGGGCAGCCTTCTTGGGGACAGCTTTTGTAGCCTATCTGCTCCTGGGGCAGTCTTGGCAGGGGCCCCAAGGTTGTGACTTCTTTGTCAACAGAATTCCAGCAAGTACCCACAGCTGAAGGTCTGGCCTAGAATGATGTTCTGTGCCCTGCTCGTACGTCTTAACTTAAAAGGTGGCTACCTAGAGGCAACCAGAAAGAGAAGCTTGGGTGGGAAAGCAAGACCCTTCAGCTGACCATTGGAGCTACCTTGTCCCTATTTCCTAGCGGAAAAGTCTCGAAGATGGCTTGCTGCCCCTAGCCTTGTCCCCTGCTTGAAGGTCACCACTTTGAGTAGCTGCATTTTGAAGAACAGCAGCAGTTGGCATTTATTGTACTTGAAGACCATCAGTTTTGAGCACAGGCTCTAGATTGCCTCCCTTGGCAAGCCAGGCTCCCTTCCGTCTCTGCTGCAGCACTCCCCCCACCCCCGCCCCCACCCTGCAGGGCTCTAGCCCCAGGCAATCTCACTTCTAGGGGACTTTGCAAACAGCAAGAAGGAGCAACACCCACACTTTCTGTACGCTCCCACCATTTTCTCCATTATCGTGGCCTTGGTCAGCATGAGGTCCCTCCTCCAAAGTACTACAGATGACACTTTCATCAAAGTGACACGTTAATCACTCAATAAAGGGCAATATCTGTCTTTGCCATCTGCTGGCCTGCCAATGCCACATTTTAGATGTTATTTGCAGCATCCCACTTTTGAGGACCAGATTCCAAATCCCAAAAAGCAAAGTGAAGTGGACTGGAGCAAAACAGAAGTTTCTTTCTCTCTCAGATCAACACAGGTGTCCAGGGCTGGTATAGTGGCTGCGTGGTTACCATTCTCTGTGCCTCTCCCATCTGGTTCCTCCCCTCGCCTCAACCGACACCTTCCAACTTTCCACCTCATGGTCCAGTATGGCTGCTCCAGCTGCAGTCATCACATCCGCATTCCAGCTGGAAAGAAAGAGGAAGTGAAGTCTTTATTTTGGATGGCACTCTGCCCAAACAAAATTCAGGAGTTTTTGGACTGAAGAAGGGGAGATGATTCTTAGTGCACATTAGCAGCTCCCCTGCAGATTTCTTGACTGCAGATCTACTGAAGAGCTGACTTAGGAGGCATTACCCTGCTCCAGCCCCAGCACACAGGAACAGATGTAATGATGTCATTTAAGCGAGGCCGATCCAGCACCCAGGAGTACAGCACTCACCCGCTGACAAGATCAGCACCCACCCATTACATGCAGAAGTCATTGCAGTAGGAGTAAACTGATAAGCCAAACTTCACCTGTTTTGTAGAAACCCCAGAGCCCCACCCCTGAATTACACAAGTCAGTCTTCCTGTGCAGCACCCCCGCCCCCCACTTGTATCCAATGCTCATCAGTCCCTAAACCTCTGGATTCCTCTCGTGGTCAAGGAAGGCTCCAGGATTTCTCCTGAGGCTGCGCCCAGGACTTCCAGCATCATCGTCTAAACCAGAGGAAGAGCCAGGAAAGACCTGTTGGGACCTATGATGGCAGAGGTCCGGGAGAGAGATGGCGGTGAGGATGAGGCACGTGGTCACAGCCCCAACATATGTAAGAGGAAGGAGAGGGGACTCTGTAACCAGTGGGTCTGCCCAGGAGCCCAGGATGGGCTAGCGTCTAGGGTTGGGCAGCGGGGTGGGGGGGTGCGGGTGCCACCAGCCAGGGGGACTAGGTGTGGAGTAGGGGGGTGAGCTTGTTGTTTGGGTCTGAAGCACAACATTAGGGACACACGTAGCCCTGAGGAGTCTCAGCAGTGTCAGAGCACAGAGGTTCGTTGTTACCTGACGTAGACCCCCTGGGTCCCGGGCACCCCCGTTGGCCACAGTAGATGCTTTTTGTTTGGTACCATTGGTGCTCACATTCTGATCTGCTCTAAAGCTCTCCAGGTCGCTCAGTTACGAAGGCAGCCGTCCGCAGTGATCCGCCGTTGTCCTGGGCACGTCAGGCTGCGGTAACAGAAGAGCACAGACAGGACGTAAAGCAGTAAAGGGAGAAGTGAGAGAAGAAAAGCAAGGTAAAATATCTCTAAATATTGATGCGGCAGGGGTTCCCGGGTGGCTCAGTGGTTGAGCATCTGCCTTCAGCCCAGGGCATGACCCCAGGGTCCTGGGATTGAGTCCTGCATGGGGCTCCCCACAGAGAGCCTGCTTCTCCCTCTGCCTGTGTCTCTGCCTCTCTCTGTGTCTCTCATGAGCAAATAAATAAAATCTTTAAAACACATATACATATTGACGCGGCCAGGACAAAGTATGACACAACTGCCTGGTGTGAAGGGACCTGGCTGTGGAGGCACGCTGGCTGGACTCTGTCCCGGTTGCGGGGTCACCGTGGCCTGGGCCTCTGGGGCTCCAGCAAGGAACCAGGCGCAGCCTCAGCGGCGGTGAGACACCAACCTGGCCACGGCCGGACATGTACACATGAGAGTAGGCCTCATAGTGATCAAGGCCAGGACGTCAAGTCACCCATAAAATTTTTTTTAAGATTTTATTTATTTATTCATGAGAGACACAGAGAGAGAGAGAGGCAGAGACACAGGCAGAGGGAGAAGCAGGCTCCATGCAGGGAGCCCGACGTGGGACTCGATCTCGGGTCTCCAGGATCACGCCTTGGGCTGAAGGTGGTGCTGAGTCACCCGTGCTGCCCAAGTCACCCATAAAAACTCAAGAAAATGGAAACAGAAACAACTGAGCAATGCCTAGAAACAGTCTAAGGTAAACACTAAGGGTAGAGCCCTCCGGTGGCCAGTCCTCTCTGGGAGCAAACCTGGGTGTTGCCACCTACCGGGCCCTGTGGGCCCCCTGTGTCCCCTGTGTCCGTCTTTTGCAGGCACTGTGGCTGTGAGGGGCCCCAGAGGCTGCCCTGCTGCTCCCTGGCCTGCAGACAGCGCCCAGCAGCCTCCTGTGGGCTCAGGCCGAAAGGATACTGGCCTCGGCAGGCCCGCGCCCGCGGATTCCTTATCGTCCCCTTCCTGCCTCTCTCTCCCAGGTAGGCTCTCCTGCCTTTGCTTCATCCCACCGAGAACTGCAAAAGATCTTCACAGCAGCCTGCCTCCCAGGAAACCAGCCAGACATCCTCAGCTGATGCCTAGAGACCCAACGCCTGCTCTGTCCTTGCAGTGGAATATTATTCGGCCACGAAGAGGAATGAAGTGCTGACACACATGACACCGTGGGTGAACTTTGAGAACATGACAAGTGAGCGCAGCCAGACGTGGAAGGTCAAAGATTGTTAGGATTCTGTGTGTAGGAATGATCCAGAAAAGGCGAATTCGTAGAGACCAAGTAGATCCCAGGGGCTGGGAGGAAGAAGGCTGGGGAGTGACAGCTAGTGAGCGTGGGTTCCCTTTGTGTGGCCCTCTGATGGCTGGGAATATGTCCCCCTCTGCTGTGTTAGCCCCTGGTGACGCTTACCTTCTCTCCCCGCCCGAGAGAATCACAACACAAGTGGGTGTCGGTAAGCGCCTGTTGAATGAACACGAGCCAGTGCCCTCTCCCTCATGCTGCTGATCTCAGATAGGACCCTGTTCCCCCTAACATGCTGCCTTTTTTATGTCACTTAACACCCCCTCTCACCCATATCCCTCTGGCAAGAAGTTTTTTTTTTTTTTTTAAGATTTTATTTATTCATGAGAGACACAGAGAGATGCAGAGAGAGATGCGGAGACACAGGCAGAGGGAGAAGCAGGCTCCACGCGGGGAGCCTGACGTGGGACTTGATCCCAGGATCAGGCCCTGGGTTGGAAGCGGTGCTAAACCGATGAGCCACCCGGGCTGCCCTGGCAAGAAGTTTTTAAAGGGGCTGGGAGGAGAGATGAAAGAAAAAAGATCTCTAGATCTGACCACATAAAAATTCAGGACACCATAAACACAAGAAAAAGGTAATCAATAAACTGAGAAAAATATTTGTAACAAATATGACAAAATTTTCAAATAAGAGATGC